CTGCAATCTGTACACAGGGGAATAATAAGAATTCATACCCCATTTGAAACAAATGTATGATATATGATGTGTCAAGATCAATGTAATGTTTTGAGCATCAATAAATTTCTGATGCTTAAAAAAATAAATTAATTAAAATTAAAAAAAAAGAAAATGGCAAAGATGATAAATACAGCATCCCCTTATCCTTTATGTGGTTTCAGCTCCCCTGATATTTTCATGTTATTTCCCATGGTACATTTGTCAAAATCAAGAAATCATATTATTATACTAGCATAAAAACTAAACTCCAGATTTCATTTGGATTTTACCAGTTTTCCACTTCTGTCTGTTTTATTTATGGGATTCTGTTCCACAATGCACTCAACTGTCATGTCTCCTTAATATCCAATGGTCAGTGGCAATTTCTTATTCTTACCTTCTTTTTCATGATTTGGATGGTTCTGACAAGTACTAGTTAGATGTTTTTTGTTAGCATGTCCTTCAGTTTGAATTGCCTGATAATTTTCTCATGATTAGATTAGAATGTGGGGTTTGGGACATAATAGCAACACTGTTGAAGTGCTCTTCACATGACATCACATTACATCAGGGGGTATGTGATATCTACACAATATTGCTTTAGTTAAGGTATATATCAGGTTTCTCAACTGTAAAGTTACTATTTTTCCCTTTCTACATTTTATTTTATTTAGTCTCTTCTAGACTAGCTAAATCCAGCCTAAACTTGGGTATGAGATAGGGGAATATTAAGCTCCCCTTTTGCAAGGGGTTAATATCTACATATATTATTTGGAATCATTCCAAAAGTAAAATTTTCTTCTCTACCCACAGTTACTTATTTAATTATTTATTTATGCATTAACTCATTTATTTTATACTGTGTTATAATACAATATAATGCCTAACAATTTGTTAAAATAACAAATACCCTAACCTGAAAATAACATTTGAAGCTACTGAATAATTAAGCCAATTCCAAATGCTAGTCATATCTGAAGGAAGATAACATTTCCCACTAATTCTATGGAAAACTGATTCAAAAATTCAAACAAAGAAACATTTTTTTTTAACATTTAAACTAATGTATCTGACTATATGTTTTTGAAAGAATGACTTTCAAAACCCACCACCCAACTCTCCTTTCCCAAAAGGCCCACTGTGTAAACATGTACCTTAACTGCCCAGACACCATAATAGCCACTCGGTCACAGACAGCTTCTGCCTCTTCCATGTAATGAGTGGTCAGAATTGCAGCCCACTTTTTGTTTTTAAATGCAGTTCGAATTGCTCGCCTGTTAAATAAAATACAAAGAGGAATATCTTTTAATGAAAATAATGGGTATTTTAATTTAACTATTTGGTTACTTTGGTTAATTAAAACTTATTGAATATCAATTGCTATCGCTATTATTTTCTGCCGAACTATGATGTATTTGAATTTATTTTCTCTTCATTTTGAAAGCTAATCAGATGAAGAGAAATTTCATGATTTCAAATGTTCATGTGGGATAAAAGTTTTGGGGATGTGGCTCAAGCGGTAGTGAGCTCGCCTGGCAAGCGTGCGGCCCAGGTTCGATCCTCAGCACCACATACAAACAAAGATGTTGTGTCCGCCGAAAACTAAAAAAAAATAAATATTAAAAAACTCTCTCTCTCTCTCTCTCCTCTCTCTCTCTTTAAAAATAAATAAATAAATAAATAAATAAATAAATAAATAAATAAAATAAAGATATTGTGTCCATCTACAACTAAAAAATAAAATAAATTTTTWWWAAAAATTTAAAAAAAAGATCGATAMTTTTTCATGTTTTAAGAAAAGTAACCATAAAATCCAACTTATATTTTATCAATATGGAAATCAAGGTTCAGAGACGTATTCAAATAATTAGTACTTTAAATTACCAGGCAGAGTTACAACATAAGTTTAAGACAATCGATATGGGAGTGATAACTTAAGGTTACATGATTAGGAAAAACCTTTCTACAAACTATTCAAATAGCAGAATAGTTTATTTTAATAATTACTCATAAGCTTATTTCCATTCTGGAATATATATATAGTACATATGTCATATATAACATATATAAAATATATATACTATATATACTGTATTTATATATAATATAGTATACTTCACAAAAAAATTAGATAAAATTTTAAAAGAATAAGGTGATCTCTGGAAATCTAAATATTTAGCTATTTTATTATTTACATAGGATTTTAAATCAAGATATACACATAACTACTATTATAACTAAAAGTTACAGTAAAATAAACTGCTTTTTTTTTTCCAGCATCAGGCAGTACAGTGTGTCTCAAGAGTTGTTTGAGTCGTACTTACCACATATGCTGTTTGGCTTTAGGATCCATACCTGTGGATGGTTCATCTAGCAGAGTAATGAGAGGATTCCCCAGCATACTTAGAGCAAAACATAACTAGATGGAAGGAAAAAAAGAGGAGATAGACTGTTAAGGCTTTACTGTGAGGAATTTTATCAAGACAGCCATGAGCATTAAACTATCAATAGAATATCTATTGTTTCATCAAAGTACCTTTCGCTTGATTCCCGCAGGTAGTTTCTTTATAGTTTTTTGAAGATGTTCTTTTAAATCAAGGGCATTTGTTATTCTGAAAAGTGAACAACATCAAATGAGTGTACCAAGATATGAATAAATAAATGTAAATTRTCTGTGATCAGACATTGCTTTCTCTAAAACAGTTAACTCAGTTGGATGTTAGTATAATTATGTAAGAACAAAAATCTTCAATTTATATCATTTTAAACAAATTAATGTCTTGATAAAATGATTCACTTTAAATTAAAATGTTTCATGACATTCAGAGGTACATTCATTCTATTAGGAAAAGAGTCTTTTATTTTCATAGCTAACACAATTTTGTAAAGAAAATATGAACAAGTATTTATCATTTTCTGTGAAAACAATGATCCACAGAAATGCTTGTTAAGGAATTTTTAAAATGTAAAATATAAATCTCCCCATGTAACAAAAGAAACCTAAGGACATTTTACCGATTTATTATTTCTTTCATGTCACTTGCACTCATTCCTTTCACAGCTCCATAAATTTCAAAATGTTCTTGTAATGTAATATCTGGCCACAGTGGGTTTATCTGAGGACAGTAACCCAAATACTTAATGGCGTCATCATCTTCAGTTGTGTCTGAAGTATAATCTCCTAGAAATACCTACAGAAATACAAACCAATTATTAGGAAGTATTTTTCGGTCAGTATCTATTGTGAGGGAAGTAAGTTGATTATTTCAAATCCTTTCCTATGACCAGAATAATATAAGGTTAGAATTTTATTGCTTTTTAATCTTAATTTTGTTTATTTATTTTTATGTGGTGTTGAGGATCAAACCCAATTTTATTGCTTTTTGATGATGGAAGGACATACATACCTAACCAAGATGAAGGTTAGTGGCGAGGACAGAAAGGTGTTACAGTGAATAGCCAGGTAGGAAAGTAAGGCACAATTTTAACTAGGATAACCAGGGGGCTGCATCAGAAGGTAATATTTGAGCTAAAGTGAATTTAGCTGTTTGAATTTGTGGGAGATAAGGCATAGCCAACACAGGAACAGCTCCGGTAAAAACCCAAAGAAAAGAGTATATCTGGGGGCTAGGGCTGTGGCTCAGTGGTAAAATGCTTGCCTAGCACTCATGAGGCATTGGRTTCAATCCTCAGCATCACATAAAAATAAATAAAATAAAGGTATATTTTAAAAGAGTGTACCTGGTTTTTTCCAGGAAAGCAATGAATTACTTACTGGAGCTTGTGTGAAGTCAGCAAGTGGGGAAGATACAGGAAATAGGAGCAGGAGAGTATTGTGAAGTTTCTACCAAGTGGTGAGTAACTTGCTAATAATCAAAGATTAATCAATGGCAGAGCCAAGACTAGCTCCCTATCTCCTGAAATTAATAAAACTATCTTCCATTAAGTAGATAAATCACTCATGCATGTAAAAATCACAAAAGTAGAAATACCATATATGCATGTCTGCATCTATGTATGAAAATGTTCACCAATTTCATCAAAATCCCAATTTGTCATTAATTATCTTAATTAAAAATAAAAATCCTACTTGACAAATTCCACATCACTGATACATACCTGGCCTGAAGTTGGTTCAATATCACCAACCAGAATATTAATAATTGTACTTTTTCCTGCACCATTTGGACCCAACAATCCCAAGATCTCTCCTATAGGAATTGAAAGAAAAATAWTCATCATATTCAAATGAAATGAAATGGAAATTACTCTTCTGGAAAAGATATTCATAAAAAAGTAATTAAATACCAACCTTTTTTCACAGAAAAAGAAACGTATTTAGCTGCCACTTTCTTTACTTTTCTTGAATGAAGAAAATCTTTCTTGTCATCATATTCTTTATATAAATTGCTGACCATAATGGCTGGTTTCTAATAACAAAAACAGGATTCAAAAAGCGAGTTATAAAACAGATATGTGTCATTTCGTTTCATGACAGGCTGCACTATCGCTTATGCCTATAAGAATAAATTGCTAATAAGTATTCATTATGAGTAGTACACAAGTAAACTTCCACTCATGACTGAAATCATGGCTTATTCAAAAGTTAGTTGACAAAAATACTTTTTCCATGAAAAACTTTTTTCAGACTGATACATATTCAAAGAAAAATATTTTTCAGATTAAATTTTATGCATTGGTAACTTACATTTCACATTTAATATGACTTAGGCATAAAGTCTAAATTACCTCCTCACAACACTGGCAACTCATCAGCTCTTTGACCTTTAGTCTCTCAGCCTTGACATCTTCATCTTCATCCTCATTAATTGGTGGTTCTGGAAACTTCCTAGTTTTGAACTTTGTTGAAAGGGTCCTAAGAAAATAAATATAGTAAATTTTCAAATAATTAAGATACTAAGAAATTTTGGCAGTACATTGAGAAAAGATTTTTAAAGAACACTAACATGAAATCTAAGATTATTTCTGAAAGCTGGAATTACAAGTATATTTAAAAAAAAATTAAATATTTTTAAAAATAAATTTAAAAAATAAAAGCATATTTTTCATCGATGGCTGGCATTTAAATAATATTATCTACATCAATTCATTTATCTTTTCAACATTATTATTTATGACTAGTATCTGTCAGGTATTCTCCACAAGGAGATAAAAAACATGAACCATTCCCTCAAAGAACTTAGAACTTAGGTATAAAGTGAAATTGCCCAGAAAGAGTAGATAAGGGCTGAAGTCAGAACCCACAGAAACATCACTCTTGTGGGTAGACAGATGAAGTGCTTATAAAGGAAATTCTGAACAGGAAGAGAAGAGGCAAAAAGATGATACCAACGTGGAAAACAGAAAAATATGAGGCAGGGGGAGTCAACAATGTTAAAGCCTTCAGACAAATAAGTTGGGCTGACCAGACAAGACAATGATAAAACCATTAGTTGCCTTACTGGAAATTAAAAAATATAYATATCAATGGAGAGGTAAGGGAGAAAATCAGATTGTAGGAAGTTAAGGAGTGAATGGGATGTCAATACCTGAAGATGAAAGATTTCTGGCTATGAGAGAAAAAATTCAGAAGTAACCCTCCAAACATTATGCTCAGTGTAAAACTGTATACTCAATACTAATTTATTATCTAAATCCTAACAATTTAATAAAGGTGCTTTCTGGTAAGTCAGAATTTTCCAAAATTAAAATAGAGTGCCCACTATGGTGAAAAGTAAATAAATATAAAAGTTAATACATTTAATGTATTTAAGAGAATCATTGGTCTTTTTTGGCTTAAGTTTTTCAAAATTCATTTCATTATTTCTTTTCTTAAAAATGTTTTAAAATGTACTATATAAATATTTAAAATACTAGGCATGCAGTAAGCACAATGGGAAGGACATATGCATCAATTCTAATTATATATATTAATGTTAATTTTGCAAATAAGTATAGAAAATTTTTTTAAAAAAAAGAAAAATATGCTGAGTGAAAGAAGCCAGACCAAAATAGACTAAATATTATATAATTCCTGTTATATAAAAAGTTTGCAACAGGCACACCTCACAGAGACAGAAAGTAGCTTAGTGATTACCTAGGGCTAGAGCCATGAGAGGATGGACAGGAAAGCAATTGTTAATCCCTCAATGGGCCTAAAGATTGTTTTGGGAGTACTAATACTGGAACTGTTTCAAAATTATGTAAATGGTGATGGCTACATAATTTCATAAACTTAGTAGAAATGTTAAAAACTTAAATACAAAAATTAACTGACCTGAAAAAGGGATCCTTTCTTATTGATCTCCCTCCATGCTTTTTTTCATAGTACTGTAAGAGGAAAATCCATAGTACACACTGCAGATAAGGCTAAAAGAAAAACATGAACAGCTCAGGACTGAATCTGATGAAGTCATTCTTTCTTTTTTCCTTTGCCAATAGAACCAAGACCACATGCATCAGGTTCCTTAACACAACCAACCCCAGCAAAAAAAAAAAAAAAAAAAAAAAAAAAAAAGCCAGGCTCAGTGACACATGCCTGTAATCCCAGTGGCTTGAGTGTCTCAGGCAGGAGGGTCGCAAGGTACTAAGCAATTCAGTGAGACTCTGTCTCTAAATATAAAAATAGGGCTGGGGATGTGGCTCAGTGGTCGAGTACCCCTGAGTTTTATCTCCAGAAYGCCCCTCATTTGACTTCCTGTACACCTTGTTTTTTATGCAACAGGATAAAAACTAAACATAGTTAATTTACAGAGATGGAAATTACATAATACTGAGAAAATGGATTTCTAAAATTCAGGTTTTATGCTGGGCACAGTAGCATATGCCTATAACCCAATATGCCCATAAACCAGCAGCTCTGGAGGTTAAGACAGGAGGATCGCCAAGTTTAGGGCCAGCCTCAGCAACTTAGCAACTTAGTGAGACCCTGTATCAGAATAGAAACCAAAAAGGGATGGGGATGTAGCTCAGTGGTAAAGTGCCCCTGGGTTAAAATCTCCAGTACACAACAAAAACAAAACAAAACAAAAAAACAGTTAAAACCAGACAACCACACCATTGTTAGGGCAACAAGCTGACACACAGAAACACTTTTGTTATTTCTTACCATTATAACAGCCACTAAAAGCCTGTCCCATGGATTGTCAGTATTTTCATTTTTTTGTAAATTCTTCCAAGAAACCTAAGACAAAAAAATTTTTAAATGTATATTCTGTACATGTAATATTTGAATTAAAATTAAAAAACATATTTTGTTCACCAAATCTTTATTCTCTACAAATAAGTTAGCTTTTCATAATCATAGTCTATGCTCTATACTTAAACTCTTCCTTGACCCCAAATATTTCTGAGAGTAGATATAAATTAAACATATTAAACTTAAAAGGGTAGTAGCGTATAGAATTAACAGCAATTCTAAATCAATAATTCATAATATTTTTTCTAATAAATGGAAAATTCTTTCAATTATTTAGACTTAATAAAACTAATGTGCTTTTGGAAATTAACACTTTATTTTCTCTCATCCCTTTCTAGTATAATATGCTACTTAATCCTTGAAAAACTCCTAAAAACAAATACTGATTGAAACCACATCTTACTTCAAATTATGTACATTATTTTGAGCATCAAAGAACATGTAATGGGCACAGTCCTTCTCCTCTGACAATTTATATTTAGACATGCTTAAAGATTTCATACTTCATTTCAAATTGCTGCATTAATAACTTAATCAAATAGTAGCAGTTAATTTGATGTATCCTGCTATTTTCAGTACAAAAGCTAAGATTCCAAAGATTAGGCAATATATATTTATAGAACTAAAATATTAAAATAGCTAACAGACTTACTTACCTTTATGAAAGATATCAGGCAACCTAGAAGCGGATAGATTGGAACAGCTATGCAAAAGGTATAATGAAAAATAGCTGTAACTGTGTATCCCATAAAGAAAGTTATTTCAGTGATTGCAATACAAGCTAATGCTGTCTGAAGGRAAAAAAAAATGAGAAAATAAGTGACAAGGTATTTAAATCTTTCATATAACTTACTTATAGATGGGTGCCTTAGTACATTAACTATGTTTTCAAACCTCTAATAAATCATGGAGCCACGGGTGACACTTAGCCAGAAAGCATCAATATGCTGATACCAGTTGTTTGCAGCTGGTATGTTTGCCATACTAGTTGTTAAGTGCTTTTAATATCATCCTTTCATGGAATGGATTATATGGAAGATAAATATACAGGCAAAAAGATGCATCCAGTTCTCTATCTAAATTCTKACATGATTTTTTTTAGTATAATCATGAAAGAATTTATGACTTTTAAATAAGCTGTTACAAAAAATATAAAATGTGACTTACCACTGAATAGATAAATGACCAAAATTCTTTGGTATTTATAATTTTCTTATAAGTGAAAGAAGCAACATAGGTAAACAGAATAACTGATGGAACATAACCAATGAGGCAAAACACCTGCAAATCAGAAATGTTTATGTTTCTGTAAAACTACGAATAGCCAGTAATACATACAATGTAAAACACCACAATCATAGTAAAATATTAATAATTATTCTTTAAATTTTATTCAACAAATCATTCCCAAACTGAAAGTGTGTGATTTAAATGAAGAGTTATTATCCATAATTTCTACTAAATCAATAAAAACATGCTTTTAATTTATTGCTAACACTATCCTGAACAATCACTTAAACAGAACACAACGTGTAGTTTTTTATACCAAGTAAAACGTTGTCTTATTTTATTAGAGGGAGTAAATATAGCTGTTTACAACTTTATTTCACTCAATCAACTATTAGCTACTATTTAATATTGCATTTAAGAAATTAACATGTTTTAAGAAAAGCATTATTTTATTTGGCAGACTTATATATAAGGCCACAATGGTCTCTGGTTAAAAAAAAAAAAATCTTTACTTTTCACCTCAGTGTTTCCCCTTTTTTCTAATAAAAACCATTTAATGAAAAGGTCTWTTATCAAGTCATTTACATGTGAACATGAATGGGAATTAAGAGTTTTTCTTTGTATTTTAAGCCATGTTATAAATTATGGAAAAAAAGAGCTTTCTCCTTGTGAAATTATGGTCTGGCATAAGAAAAAACAAGAAACACACTTTACAGATGGAATACATTTAAATATTCCAGATTACACAAAGTATGTGGTCTGTGTAAAAAGCCACTTTGATCTTAAAAAATTATTTTAAAATGGTGATAAGTTATTGTTTTTAAAAATCACTTTTAGTAATTCAAATTAAATTAATTAAATGTATCATATACAATAATTAAACACTGGTTCCATTTTCTTTTTTAACAAACGAATTTCCACATTACTCAATGCGGTCATGTATATAATTAATTTTTTTAATAACATTTTATCTATAGGTAGCATGAGAACAACTGATGTTAACTTACCACAGCAAGGAACTTTACAGCATAAAAATATAATTCATAATGAAATGYGAATAAACTTCCTAGCATCAAAAAAAGAATAACAAAAAATAAGGGAATATCAACAATAGCTTGTCCAATCCAATATGCAGATGGCAAAAGCCCTGAAAGCTTAAGTTGAGTATAAGCTTTGATCTAAAAAGGAGAAAAAAAGAAAGTTTTATTGYAATTTCATTTTACAAACAAAAACTAGTAAATTATTATAGAACTCCTAAATTTATATCAAGAGAAAAACTCCATATTCCAGGCCTACAGGTAAGTACTCCTGACATTAAATACTGAGTCCATTTAGCCCTTAATGTGGCTCACTATTTGTGAAATGTAATAACTTCAATGAGATTTTTAAGAATCAGAATAAAACAAAGCAAAAGAGGTTATGTCATGGGAGTTATGGCTGTGCAAACAATGAAGAGCCAAAGTACTTACTTCTGAAAATTTGTGGAAATGAATGGAAATCTGTGTAAACAGAAAAAGGAGTCTCATTTTTTAAAACTGACCTTTAATAAAAACACTAACAAACTTCCAAATACCCTCTGGATTTGAATAGAGCTTCAGATTAAATGTTTAACTAAGTACACAGAAAATTTGAGACTCTTACATTAAGATGGTGTAGTATATAACTGTAAGGTGCTATTATAATACATGTAAATAGCATTTTCATGCATGAGAATAGTTTTCCTCTCATGCTCTCATTACTTAAATTTTTTTAGATTTTTTACAAATTCAAATACCTAATAATCTTATTCATTTCTATCATCTATAAAAATATCTATTCTTAATAATTAATATATTATATGAACAGGCCAACAAGTAAGACAAAGGATCCAAGAAATATAAAAATCAGTTAAAGAGGAAAAGGGGACATAACAGCTCAGTGGTAGAGTGCTTGCTTAGCATTTTTGATGCCATGGGTTCAATCCTCAGAACAAAGAAGAAGAAAAGGGGGAAAATGGACAAATGCTATGTTCAATAAATCAGAAGCAAATTAAAGTATAGAAGTAAATTAAAATATAAATACATAAAATTCAAATACATTCATTTTGTACGATTCTAACTTTATTCATTATTTTTGGTTGGAATACAAAAAGGTATATCCACTTTTGAAAGTAATTGGTAATTTCTAGTGAAATTAAACATCAGAATACAATCTTTTGGGCATTTATCCTAGAGAAATGAAAATATGTTCATAGGAAAACCTGCATGTAAATGTTCACAGCAACTTTATTGATAGGAGTGAAAACTGTTATCATTTCAGATGTGGAATACTAAGCAATTATGAAGGCATTGACTATTGATATACACACATTTGGTGAACTTCAAAAAGCAATGGGGAGTTATGCTGAGTGAAATAAGCCATTTGAAAAAGAAAACATACCGTGATTCCATTTATACATTCTTGAAATATCAAAATTATAAACATGGGGAACAGATTTGACAGAAGCCACAGGGGGAATGCAGGGAAGTGGTATGTGACTAGAAAAGAGCAATAGAAGTAATCTCTGTATTTTGACTTGAACAATGTCAATACCTGTAAAATTTTACTATGGTTTTTTTTTAGGATGCTACCACTGAGATAAAATGAATAAAGAGTATACAGGATCTCAGTGTATCATTTCTTACAAGTGAAAATGAATCTATAATTACTAAAAAATTAAAAGTTTAATGTTAAGTTGAGTTGGATACATTGGTTCATGCCTATAATTCCAGCTATTCAGGAGGCTGAGGCAGGAGGATCCTAAATTCCAGGCCAGCCTGGGCAATTTAGTAAGACTGTGTCTCAAAATAAAATAAAAAGGCATGGGGATATGGTTCAGTGGTAGAGCACTTGCCCAGCATGTGCAAGGTCCTAGCTTCAATCTCCAGAACAAAATTTAAGAACAAAAAAAAMCTCTCAAAGTCAAAGGTCAAATGTTCTCTTTCATAAGTGAAAACTAGAAAGAAAAAAGAAATAATAAAAGGGGAATCTCATAAAACAGAAGGAAGAACAGTACAGTAGAAGTAGGGAACCAAGGGTGGGGGTGGGGGGGGCAAGAGGGAAGAACTGGGGAATAAATCTGACCAAATTATGCCATGTGCATGTATTAATATATTACAATGCATTCCAATCTGATATCTAACCAAATGTACCAATTAACTAAATAAGAGATGGAAGACCAATAGGGATGAGGAAGGAAATCAAAGACAGAGAGAAAAGGAGAAAAGATGGAAGGAAAAAGAGATGGTACTGGGTTTAAAATGGAGAAAACTATGTTATATGCATTTAAGAATATGTCAAAATGAACCCCACACAATAGTGGTGTTATTATAACTACAATGCACTAAAAATAAAATGTTTTAAGAAATGCAACTTTCTGGTAAATTTTAGAAGGGTTGTAGATTTTATCTTTGTTAACTTTTCTATATTTTCTAGGGAGGGGGAGCATGGGAGGAAGAGAGGAATTCTAGAATTCTAGATAGGGCAGAGGGGTGGGAGGGAAAGGGAGGAGGCAAAGGATTAGTAAGGATGGTGGAATGTGATATCTATCACATCATTACCCAAAGTATGTATATGAAGACACGAGTTGATGTCAACATACTTTATATACAACCAGAAATATGAAAAATTATATTGTATATGTGTAATAAGAATTGTAATGCATTCTGCTGTCATTTATTTTWAAAAAATCAATAAAAATTTTTTAAAAAATAATAAAGATACATATCATAATATAAAACTTGAATATTGGGACTGGGGTTGTGGCTCAGTGGTAGAGTACTTGCCTGGCATGTGTAAGGCCCTGGGTTTGATCCTCAGCACTGCATATTAATTAACTAATTAATTCAAAGATCCATTTACAACTAAAAAATATTTTTAAAAACTTGAATATTATTTTTTAAATTGCCTAAAGAATCATGTTATATTTATACTAAATAAATTTACTTTCAATAAAATTTTTATTAAAATTTATTAGACTATATTTTTATTAAATTTTTAAAGATGAGTCTAAACTCATTAGTCATCATAGTCTGTAAACTAATAAACTTGTTTCAAAATTAAGATCATCCATCGAGAGAATAAAAATTTTTATCAGAGAATTAAGATACAATTTCAACACAGAGGAGTTGAGAAATTCAAACAGCCAAAAAAACTACAAAAGATAGGTAGTTGCCTGGTGGACAAAAGAAAAAGGTGGAGAAGAAAGTGAAGAATTCCAAAGAACTTGTGTATACTTAGCAGTTTTTCCCGGGCCCCAGTTATGACAATCAATTTCACCATTTTTTTTCATTTAACAAGAATGAAATGCCTGTGTATTCAACACACTCTACTAAAGGTAAAGAGAGGAAGGGTGGTGTTCCAGTTAGGATCATGAAGATCACAGTCAGTTTTCACTTTCACAATGTAAAATGAGCTGAGTCAACCTGAGCAACTTACATGAACACTCCCATCTTTGATTTAAAGATTTGTAAAGTAGAAAAATAAAACTTAGCTCAAAACATTATAAAGATTAGAGGATGCAATTTTGAAAGCACAAAGCAAGTACTTAAGTAACAAATATTATCACAATTATTATAATAATAAATTTATTTATTCTTTACTTCTGAAATAATTTTTATATAAGATTTGCAAACATACAAATAGGTTAGTTTTGGACAATTCTTATTGGAATACCATACCTGTAATTTTTTAAAAACTGAGTCATACCTTATGATTCTCTGAATTTTCCATGGCAAAATAAGGTGGCATCGCAGTAACAATGATTCCAAGCAAAGCAGCTTGGAAATACAGCTCAATTTTAAAAACTATGTCAGTAATTTCCTGAAAGACATCCACAGAATAAGAAATGGAACTCAGTATCACTTTATACCACCTTAGTACATTCTAAAAGAGTATCACAGAATATCAAAACCTCTGAGGGAACACATTTGGATATCTATCSCAGGCTTAGTCTCTATGAGAGACTGGGTAGTAGGTTTAAACCATCCCTTACTTGAGTTTTAAAACTAGGAGATAGTACAGGATAAATTTCTACAAATTTTTGTCTACTATAATTGCTTGGGTTTTAATTTATATTTTATACACACAAACAATACACTTAAGAAATTTTATCTATATATGTGGTTGCTTACTTGAAAGAATGGGGTACTCCAGATCTGGATGGTTTCAGTCACATTTAAATGATAAAGATAGTAGTTACTAATGATATTCATCAATACAGGTAGAGAATAAACCATAGTACTGTTGAAAACAGCTGTAAAAACATAGTCCTATAATTTAAACAAAAAGTTATTGCATACTTTATATAAGTGCATAAATTATTGCTATGTGTCAAGCTTTTCTCACCAAGTAACCTAATTCTAATTAACTGTATAGAATGGATGCTTCAATAAATCATAGAAATAATACTCCATGATAGATACAGATAATAGAGCTGTGAATACAGCTAGGAATGGGCAGATATTTTGATATTTTAAATAAAAATAAAATTCCTTATTCCTTTTCATGTTGATCAGTTATCACAGCATAAAATATATCATAAACAAACAGCCAGTTATTTCTAAAAGTACATTCTAACTTCCAACTAATGAAGTCAATTTAACAAATAACTAATTTTAGGACTAATTTAATCCTTTATAACTTTTAAATGGGTAACGTTCACATGCATTAATCTTACCTTTTCTGAATACACCACATTTAAAGCTGCACTATGAGGAGCAGCAGAAACATAGTCACTGTCATTAAACATCGTCACCATTATGTTCCGGTAGGCAAAAAAGTTAGTAAGATCACTGATATCTGAGTCTGGTATTAGAAAACAAATAATAAGGAATCAGTTTAAAGAAGAAACAGCCACYGACTTTTAATAACATTGGAAACATCCCTGTCTTTTTAGAGAACTTTTTATCTTTATCAGCTAAGACATGATTAAGAACAGTAACTCTGGAGCCAGTTACTTGAATTCAAACCCCAATTGTACCACTTGCACTATTCTTAAAACAATTTACCAAATGCTCTGGACCTTAATTTCCTCTTTTGTAAAGTAAGGATAAAAAGCATATCAAACCCTCACATCCTGTGGTCATAGAAATTAAAGGACTGAAAATAAGCATAGGGCTTAGAACAGAACCTGGCACTTAGTAACTGCAAATTTAACCTACAGCTGCTGCTACAATTATTAAAAATAACAATGAAAAGCTACCTGGAATGCTCATATGAAATATGGTTAAACAGTAAAAATGACAATCTATTTGGCAATTATAGGCAACAAGATAACCTGCTAAGGTTAGAAAGGTATAAGATAGGGTATGGTAGCATTGTTCCCTTGGGAAATTTTGTGTGTTCTGGGCATCCAGACAAGTTTTATAAATGCCAATTGACTTAACAATGTCAAAATATTCAAATCCATAATCAGCTCTCTATCTACATTCTCTAGATGGCCTGGAACCAAGGGAAATATTTTAATCCTGTTTAGGGTTTAAATCTATGTTGACATGTCTGATGAATACAGATAGCACCTGCTCTATCATCACAAAAAACAGGATCCAAGGAAGGACAAATGTGACTTTAAGAGAAATTCATATCATTCAAAGCAAAATACAATCTTTAAGTGAATAGTGTAATAAGGTGGATCAGATTTGGCACCAAACCACAAAGTCATACTAAATGGTGTTTTGGGGTATAAAGTGACACTACCTTTACTCCTAACCTAGTGCCTTAATGCAACTCTTCTCTAAAGGTTGTCAGCAGGACTACATGTGTTGCAAAGAGAGCTATGCTGTAACTGAAGTAGCTTCAGTAGTTCCACCTGTGCTTTGCAAGGAGGTAAGAAATCATCCAATGACACAGACAATGCCCAGTGATTCCTAAAGGAAAAAGGTTTTTATTTTGGATCATCAATAGGACCTAGGAAAATACTGGATATATAGGCAAGAAACTCTCAAAATACTAAATGATGATGATGATATAATAATAATGGAAGAATGAAAGAAACAAACCTTGAAAAAACCAGAATTTCTAAACATCAGTGAAAATGAACTCAAAAAGAAAGCTAGTAACTGCAATTTACAATTCCCCAAACTTCAAAAAAATCATAATAATGGGGCTTCATGCAGTAGTAGATTTTAGCTACAGAAAATTTATACTAAAATTGAAAACAAGAATTCTAAATGAAAGAAAAAAATTGCAAAACATAACATTTTCTATTTAAGAATAACTCTCTATCCTAAATACATCTTCCCAAGAAAGAATGAAACTTATGTAGTATACTTAGCACCAGATTTTATTAGTACATGATTTAAAAAGTAATTTATAGTCTTTTGAAGACTCTTAGGACTATGTACACAGGAGATGTTGTAGAAACAACTGATCATACATGAATGAAATTTTGTATTAGGTTGTCATATTTTGAAGATCAGAATCCTATATCAGTTTTGTTCTTATTTAAGCAACAAGTGCTGGCGAGGATGCGGGGAAAAACGTATACTCATACACTGCTGGTGGGACTGCAAATTGGTGTAGCCAATTTGGAAAGCAGTAAGGAGATTCCTTAGAAAGCTGGGAACAGAACCACCATTTGACGAGCTATTCCTCTTCTCGGACTATACCCAAAAGACCTAAAAACAGCATACTACAGGGGCACAGCCACATCAATGTTATAGCAGCACAATTCACAATAGCTAGACTATGGAGCCAACCTAGATGCCCTTAAATGGATAAATGGATAAAAAAAATGTGGCATATATACACAATGGATATTACTCAGCACTAAAAAATAATAAGATCATGGCATTTGCAGGGAAATGGATGGCATTAGAGCAGATTATGCTAAGTGAAGTTAGCCAATCCCAAAAAACCAAATGCCAAATGTCTTCACTGATATAAGGGGGGTGACTCAAAATGGGGAAGAGAGGAAGAGCATGGGAAGAAGATTACCTTTACATAGGGAAGAGAGGTGGGAAGGAAAGGGAGAGAGAAAGGGAATTGCATGGATGGTGGAAGGAGACCTTCATTGTTATACAAAATACATGTATGAAGATGTGAGGGGAAAAAAAAGAATAGTGTTACCCTAGATTAGGTAGAGAGAAGTGAAGGGARGGGAGGGGAGGGGTTGAGGAGATAGGAAGGATAGTAGAATGAAACAGACATTATTATTACTGTGTTTATATATGTGACTGCATGACCAATGTGATTCTGCAACCTGTGTACTCAGAAAAATGAGAAATTATATCCCATCTGATTCAAATGTATGATATGTCAAGATCATTGTACTGTCATGTGTAACTAATTAAAAATTTTAAAAAACTTTTCATTTTCAACAATTATGAAAGAATACCAACAGCAAATTCAAAAAACTCAACTACAAGTTTTAATATTTTCAACTACACATAYTTATATTTATGTTTATTTGTCTTAGTTTTAAMTAATTCTTCAAATAGTCCTTAAAGGATTGCTTAACATTCATAAACAGCATAATACTGTAACTCTTTCTAAAGAAAATTTCACTACTTCTCACCTTTATTTAGTTCACCATGAACTCTGAGGTAAAACATGATACTGAGAACAATGTTGCTACTCTTAAAAACAAAAAAACAAAAACAAAGGAATTTAATGATCATAAGCGGTATAGACTATTTTTAAAACTTTTAGTTTAAAATTTCATTTTAAGTATAATTGTAGTACATCACTCAGCATCTATAAAGCACTTTTATTTCTTGTGGATTCTGTGTAGATCATGCCTGTACCTTAATTATATTTCTAAAATTCACCCCTCAATTCCCGTTCCCTGGCCAACACACATTCACAGACCTTCACACACTCTCACCAGTGGAATTCTGAAGAAGCAGACTTGTTTTATATTTATGAGGTTTGTCTCCAGGTTTTAGGAAATATAAGTCTGGAACAAGTTTGATGGGAACCACAGCATTTTTGAAAGAGTGATGTACAAAAAACATAAAAAGCTGAACTGCAAAAAAAATTAAAAGCAGAAGTAACCTGAAAGAGGAAAAAAAGAAAACAGCTTAAGGTATATTAATATGTAAATCTATTAAAAACTTCTTTAACATTTGTATTGATTTAAACCCCAGATGGTTAAAAATGAATCATTGAAAAAAATGAATAAAAGAAAACAAGAACAAAGAAAGAAATCTTTAAAAAAATTCTACTACCAAAAATTACCTTATGATAATGTTGTAGAGAAAGCTAATATTGAATGAAAAAATTACAAGTTATAAAAGTAGAAGCAAAGAGAGGACCAGGGTCACCCTTAAATTATTATAGGGTGTGTAAACCTGTAGGTTTTTTTCCCCACAAATATCTTCTGTTTTTATTTATTTATTTATATTTTATGTGGTGCTGAGAGTTGAACCCAGTGCCTCATGCATGCTAGTAGGCAAGCACTCTACCTCTGAGCCACAATCCAAGACCTAAACCTATAATTTTAATTGTTAAAGAATCTGACATTGCCACAAACATTTATGTTTCTATACTCCTGAAGGAACTACTTCCTGCCCTCTCTCTATCCTATCCATTTACTTTTCATATACTGGCAAAAATATTTAGGTACAAGGAAAAAAAGTACAATAAAACTTTGATATTTTTTAATTTCCATTCTAATCACAATTTAATCACATTAACTGCTATTGTGTCTCTCAGGTGGCAAAGCAAGATACAATCTACTATAACACCCTCTTACCTGGAAGATAGCGCCTTCTCTGCAAAGCATCTCTGTCTTAGCTAAGTGTCATTAGTGGCTGGAGAACTTAGATCATCACACTTAAATAAATTTATAATTTACATTTTTTAGATACCTCATAATTGTTTTTTAAAAATCATTCTTAAGTTGTCACAAAGCATTCTGCTTTTAAGTCCAGCCCTATAAGAAGTTAATTGATATTTTAGATAAGAAAATAATTCATGAGAAAAAAATTCATGATCAAATACTATTTAGAATCTCCAGACTAAACAAAATTAAAGAAAACTTTTTTTTTAACCAAAGAACATCTCATATGTTCTTATACGCTGATGAACAACTTAATTGAGCAAATACAAGGTACAATATTTCCTAAATGTACTTGAGCATAGAACCCTGTTTTGAAATGAATGTTTGTGTCCCCCTCAAATTTATATGCTGAAGCTCTAGCCCCTGAAGACAGGAACTCTGGAAGGTAATTCAGATTAGATGAAGTCATGAGAGGGTGTGTGCCTTATGATGGAATTAGTGTCTTATTGAAAAAAAAAAACCCAGCAAGAATAAGATCATTATGTGTTTGAAATAAGAGAGTTCATGCTAATGTGCTCACTTGCTTATTCTCTCCCCACAACCCCTCCACAAAAAGAAGTCATGTGAGCACACAGTGAAATGGTGGCCTTGAAGAGTCTTCACCACACTGGCACTCTCTCTGGTCTCAGACATCTAGCCTCTAGAACTGTGAGGAAAAATAAATTTCTGCTTTTTAAGCCACCCAGTCTATGTTTTTTAATTATAACAATCTGAGCTAAGACTCTTATTGTTTTCCCAGGGGTATTTCATGAAAGTGGTGTTCAACTTTATAAATGGAAATGTGCTGATTTAAATAAATATTTTCTTTCAGTAACAGTAACAGGAATAAATCAAGATACTTGATTGACATTTGCTTAGTATAGAATAAATTCAGTCAAAAAGGCAAATAAGGTCAGCATATTTCAAACACATAATAATCTTATTCTTGATGATTAAGTTTTATTCCTACTACCATTTTGGATCTAACATGATAGAAGTACAGTGTATGAAAAAAGTTGATATTATTCCAAATAAGCCAATTTTTAGTACCCTTGAAAGAGGGCGCTGGGAGAGGTTAAAACTAAGCTGAGAAAATCTCATTTTGATCCCAGATCCACCAGTTACATAGCCTTTTTTACATTTCAGTTTCTTTATCTGATATATAACTATAAATCTTTTTACTTTTCCTAATGGGTTCAGTGGTGTACACCTGTAGTCCCAGCACTCATGAGGCAGATGTAAGAGGATTACTTGGGCCTAAGAATTTAAGATTCATCTTACACACAAAAAAACATTTCCTGCCATTTATAAAATAAGCATAAAAATTAACTAATGGATGAAACAAAAATGAAAAACATTTTTGTAAGCTAAAACTGAAGATACAATGACAATAATTCAAAGATTATATAATTACATAGGGTTACTTGTTAGTTCCTCATTTTATAGAGGTGACAATAAATGTTAGTGCTAAAAAAAAAAAAAAAAGTAAACCTCTAGGTGTTTTTCAAGAAATTACTATAAAATACATTTTTCTTCTCTGAAATTGTAAAATTATTTTAATCTTTCAAAACTATGTCTTACTTACAAATGTCAACATATAAAAATATTRTAAATCCAATTTGTATCCTTAAAAGGACAACTTCTCAGGCAGAAGAATGGTAATCATACTTACACTGATCTCAGTGATTTACTCTCACGCTTCAAGGTAAGAAAATGAAACTTTGCTATTGTAGACACTTGTTGTTTCCAAAGGCTCATGGTGCTCAGTAGGGAAGCTTTGGTTTCAGAAAGAATAAGCAAGCTTTGTTCCATTTCATCAAAAGATTTTGAGTCCATTTCTTCCTCTGGTGGTTGCTGTGTAAAAACACTATAATCTATTTGCCAAACAAAAAGAAAATTTTGGTATATTCCTTTAATAAGATGTAAACTCTTTTGAAGCATATCAATTTAAAGAAGCACACATCTGGCAGTAAAATGGAATGCTCTTATATTTCAGCTTTATCTATTAAAGCTAAACAGATGTGAATATCTTATTACCCAGGAAGACTCCTTTAGGTATAAACTCAACAGAGGTATATGAAGAGGAGTCACCAAAACACATGCAGAAGATTTTTACTAATGCCCTATCAAGAATATCCTAAAACTAGAAAGTAGCCAATGTCTATCAACAAGTGAAGGAACAGTTGTAAATCATGCCTAGCACAAAATGATGTAAAACAACAAAAGCAAGCAAACAACAGTAAGCCATGTGACATGGCTGACTCTTGCAGAAGTAATACTGAGTAGAAGAACCAGTTCAGAGTTGATTTCAACTTTTGAACTTCTCTGATTTCCATAGTTCAAAACTAGACTGTATGCATGCTCATACTTAAGATCATAGATATTTGAACTATTATGTGAACTTTTCCTTTCCTGACTACAACTTAACATCAAGCCCCCATCAAACCCTTGACTTCTCTCTTTCCTCTTTAACAGTCCTCTTCTGGCTTGGCTTTACTTTGCTTAGTTTCATACACAGTTGGTAGCCAAAATCTGCCCTTGAAATTCATTTTCAGTCTTTGGAGAGTTATAAATACAGTACTTCAATATCATTTCCTGAAGCTCTGTGTAATTACAGCTGATAATAATCTGATATAACAGACATAATAAACTCAATAATGTGAATGAAGTATACCATTTGGATTTACTTTTAATATTTACTTGCAATTACATTTAAACATTCTAAATATATTTGGAATAAAAATTTCTTTATGTATTTTATGTTGGAATCCTACCAATTAAATATAATTGGTTACTAATTTAATGGCAAGAATAAAATGGCACATAACTGATGATTGTTTATTTTAAATTCAAAAACACATTCAGGAGTTCAAATGTAGAAAGCCACTGATAACTAATGCAAATATTAAATAGTGTATACAAGTTAGAAACTACTTTGGGCAAATATATACATTTTTAAATTTAAACAATAATACAAAAAATGACATTAAATTACATCATACTAATTGTTTATAGTTGTTCAGCATACTAGCATTTATAATATTAATCAAAAAATTTCAGAGGATTTGTTTCATTTTTAGTTATTTCATTCCATTAAGGCCATCAGACTTTCAGTAAAAAAGTTTTATCTGAACTCTTCTACAATTTGTGAAGATAAATAAAAAGAATGCCAACTTTATAATTTCAAATGTTCAAAAGAAGGAAAAACTACAAAATCCACATAATAACATTGCAGATCACTCTTCTTGGACTCGAACATAAAAACATTCGTAATAGGGAGACRGGAAGATGRCGGCGAATGGAGTGCATCACCYCMGTGTACCGCGTCATTGCACGGGTGAATGACGAGTTAGAACCGCCAAAAGCTATCTTGTTAGGAATTTCCATCAAAATTGGGGTGCACCGAAACCTAGAGGAAGGATTTCCATCGCCCGAGGATCGGTTACTGGGGCCCAACCGCGAGTGAACTGTCCAACCAGAGATTCAAGCTGTTTATTCAGCGGCCCACCCCGCTGCTAGAGACTGTGGCGCGCTGGGAAACGGCATCCCTAGAAACGGCTAGCAACGCAGAGAAACGGTGCTGCAGATTCTGTGGGCTCCTGCCGGCTGTGCCCTCACTATGCTTYGGGCTGAGTTCTGGGTTTGAGWCGGGAGAAGGAAGCTGTCCAGTTCTRTCCTCCACAGGGGTCAGCCCACCGAGGAAGCCAGCGGCCACCATCTTGGAGAGCTGACATCACCATCACCAGTTTTCGACAGATTGCAGCTCATTCAGTGATAGAACAGGTCTGTGTCATTTAGACCATCTCCCATACAGTAGGGAAATCACATAAAATCTCTCCCCGGCTTTCTGGGGGCGTGATTAATAGAGTGAGCATGAATAGAGGCGTGGGGAAAAGTAAAGGCACCTGACCTCCAACTCCCCCCTCCCACCAGCGG